CAATCAGATCGCAGGTTCCTTGTCAGTGTGGCACTACACTCATGTTCATGACAAGAACATTTAAAGTGGTGATTACCACAAGGATCAATAAGGTTAAGACTTAATTTTTCTATTTTACAAATTAGTGGTTTGATCTGCATCAAAAGCAAACTCAGGCACTCTGACGGGGTAGTTAGGCTATTGAGACATGGTGTTATGTCAAAGCTAGTGAGACGCAGGGCTGATGGTGATCAGCACTCCCAAACTAGAGTATGAACTATGAGTTGCTGACATCCTTTCCATGTAGAGTTTGGACTCACGCACAGTACTCTGATTGGTGCTATATTATTAGGATATGAATAGATGGATTCTAAGACCTAACTTAGTACAATTGGTCACATTGACCATACTTCTTCCATAGGAAATAAGGACCCAATTTCATAAAAGTAACATTTAAAAATACCCTGTTGCCTATTTCACAATTCAAAAGGACCTACCATGGTTATCTTTGTCTTCATCTATAAATGGGGAAGATAGGGAGGGTAAGGGACCAATGTACGTGGCCAATAGACATATGGGACAGATAGTAGGAATGAGAAGCCAGAATGGAATCTGTACTGGACTTGTAGAGAGGTATGTCAGGACCCCATTTCCTAGATAGCAAGGATCAGCCTGCCCCCACCCCGGCCCCAGCTGTGTCTCCAGAATGGTCCCAGTCACTGCAGTGGGCATCCAGGAAAAGAGGCCAATTCCCACCCACCAGGCAGTGCAAACCTGCATAATCAGAACACTTGGTGCAGAGGGTGGGAACATTGAAAAGATAAAGGACCTCTTTAAAACAGATTTTTTCCCTGTGCATTTTTTTTCATAATTATAGCTTTAAGAGCTTATGGTGATGGGAAAAACTGGCTACTTAAGAAAAATTAGGAGTCTCATCTGGCAGGAGAGGATTCCCCAGGGGACAGCACACTGTCGTTTTTCAGAGCCCCCCAAAGAAACCCCCGCACTGACATCTGTGCATTGGCCTGATGTATGGCCAGCCTGCCTCACTATGGCCAAAGCCTTGTGTTTTAATTAAAACTACTCTGCATGCCACTAAATATGTTGCCTCCCTCCATTTCTGCAACCATAGTGTCTGAGGAGATACAAACAGAATCCGTTGCAGATGTGTCAGAGGCTATGGCCTACTGACTCACCACCACATCCCAAATTCCAGTCTCAGAGAACCTCCCTGTGAAAATACAAAGTGCAAACAAATGGTCCCTTCTGCAGCTTTACACAGCTTCAAGCAGTTACTCTAGTTGAGGAAGAAGGTTGGAGTGGGGACAGGAGCTACCCATACGATCAAAACTATGACTTCATAAATGACTTCCTTGATGAATAAAAGTCCTCTGGCCACACATGGGTTTGTACCCATCCTTAATGTCTTTTGTTTGTTTTTAAGCTACAAAAGTCAAATATTTTAGTCGTCACCTATCTGCTGTGAGCTCCCACAAAGAATGCATGGGGGGCAAAGCTAGCTTAATTTAATCATCTGGATGTCTGTAGCCTGAGCACCCTCATCCCCAGGCTAGCACCAGCAGCTAGGTTTTATTTGGGTTTGCCAGGCCAAACCTGGGCCTTCCCCAAAGCAGCCCCAGCCTACATGAGTTTAATGACACATCCGCCCTCTGATCACCTTAAGTCACCCAGCTATCAATGGAGAAGTGTCATTCCCTGTACAGCCCAGGGTGAGATTGATTTAGCTTATCTGTAGGCCCTGACCCCACAGCTCCCACAGACCAAAACTGCCAGGAGTTTCCTGAGCATGGCTAGTATTGGAATGATGTATAGAAGAAACATGCTGGTACTTCAGGAGCAGAGGAGAAAGTCTTGCATGTTTGGAAGCGATGTCAGCTTGCGTTAGAGTCCCAGACAGTGCTTGGATGTCCTTGGCATAATATGGCGCTGGTATCTCTGTCAGCATCTCTGTTTTCTGTCACCATGCACAATCCTGGGCCTGTCTCCAGTCCTGACAGTGTCTTTTCAGATCAGGTTAGTGCCAGCCCAGAGACCAAGTCGGCTTCCCAGCACACAGCCCCTTTGTTTGAAGTCTGCCCTTTTGTCATTAATGCACTCAATGTCTATTTAAATCTGACAGTGAGTGCAGTATCTGTTTTCCCATCAAGAGATCATTGACAATATTAATAACTCACGTCCTTGCCTCTTTTTCCAAGCGCTGACACCTAGCCGCAGTCTCCTGCATTCATCAAACAGCCCTCTCTCACCAGGATGTCTATAAACAGTCTTGCTTCCAGGCCCAAAGAAACAGGGCAGGCCTTAAAAAGGACTTTTGTCAGTGCCAACCAGAGATGTGTGAGCATGGCTCAGAATGCAGCCCAGGCCCAGTGTTCCAGGAACACTGTTTTCCATCTCTTTGCATCTAGAGTGGAAATTCAAAATGGAGAGGGATGGAGAGAAGACACTCAGAATACCCGGATGTGCGGGCAAGTTTATGGAAAGGAGTGCAACCATGGCAGGACAGTGGTATTTGTGCACATGGCTGCCTGTCATGCAGTTTGCTCATGAGAAGGACTGTGCTCTCTATGATATCCGGCAGCCCTATCCCCATCTTTTTATAAAAACACATGCTGTCCTGGTATTGTAGAAAGAAATTAACTGCCCCCCTCCAGACTTTTTGAGGGTTTTCTTGAATCAGTCCAGTTTAAGACAGTCCTTTGTGGGGTTGCCCATGCATCTGAGGCATACTCAGCCAAGCCACTGAGGGAGGTAGAATGTGACCAGACCAGCCCTTAGACCACCAGGGTTCTGGCATTGATGAGGATGTTAGCACAACTCTTACGCACTATAAAATACAATAAAGGGAGAAGCTGTGCCAATAGCTGAAAGAATGGGTCACAAGGAAGATCTGAGTGAGGTTTCACACATGCTCAATATTTCCAGGCACTAAACCAATACAGAAAACCAGAAACTGGGGACTAGGGACATGGAGGAGCAGGAAAGCCAAGTCAAGCAGGAAGAGTAGCCCACAATAAAGCAGTCTATGGCAACACAGCAAGCAAAGAGCCAGGTCCCAAATGATATCATCCCGTCCCTCCTCCAACTCTGAGAGCTCCTGGGACCTGGGTAACTTTCAAGTGTGCCTCTGACTGTCCAAAGCAGGGCAGATCTACACTACCCGTAAAAGTTTCTATATATTATTTTAATCCTTATTTAAGAACAAAGTTTCGAGAATGTAGAGGCAGATTGATAAAGGCCTTGCTATGCAAGCATGAGGACCTGAGTTTGAACCCCAGAGCCCATATGAAAAGGCAATATACAGCTGTGTACATCTGTATTCTCAGAGACAGGGCTGGGCAGGAGGAGCCTGGGACATTGGTAGCCAGCCAGTCTAGTGGAATCCATGCACTCCAGGCCAATAAGAGACAAAAAGTAAAGTGAATGGTATTTGAGAAAAAAAAAAAAAGGGAAGACAACTAACATCAACTTGTGGCCTCCATAGACACATATATGTACACATACCCAATAACATGCACCCACACCCATCCCCCTACACACATACACATGTACCTACATCCACACACACATACACATACCCAATACACGTATACCCATACAAATATTCTCTCCCCCCCTCTTTCTCTCTCTCTCTCATGCACAAAGTGTAAAAGTTTGTAATACTAACATGTCACATGGAGAACATAGCTGATCTCAGATCAATGAAGAATGGTGAGCGTTGCCATCGTACTGCCAAACTATAATCATGTGCAGAGGGGGTGACTATCACAGGCACGTGTGAGGCTCATGGGTTACTTTTTATGACTATTTTCTTTCTTTGTCTCCTGTGAACTTGAGAGATTTAAGTTCAATTTGTCCTCAGACAGCTATTTACAAGAGAATTTTAAGTTAGTTCTTCTAAAATTGGAAAGAAAGAAAAAAAAAAGGTGGTGAAAAGGCCCACAGAGGTTATAAATATTTTCTTGGGAGAATACTTTTTTTTTTTTACTAACAATGTTATAGAGTTTTCACTCTGGCCAATGTCTTCTAGGTATTTATAATGATGAGCATCAAAACCAGGCAATTCCACATTGTAGGCAAGTACTATTCTTCCAAGTTACCTCCTTAGCTCTTGATTTTTTTTGAACAGAGCTTCACTATGAACCCAAGGTTACACTTGAACTCACCATCCTCCTACTCTAACCCCCAAGTCCTAGGGTTACAGGCATGCACCGCCAGACACATAACTGTTGCTATGAGTATTTGTAATATGTAAGGACGAGTTGGTTAGAGCATCTGCCTCTCTTCTAATGTGTGTTTCACAGTGAAGTGTCCCACAACTACCACAAAGGACAGGAAAGTTTTATCAGGATCCAGAAATAATATATGAAGTCAAACTGAAGATAAAAAATCAAGTGCTTTTTAATATGAAAAATGAGTTGCCTCAACTTCAATGAGGTACCTAGCAGTGGGGACTTCTAATGTCAATGGCACTTATTACTGTCGCTATGGTCTTCAGTCAGCACAGCCTCTCATCTTTAATCACGCAACGTGGGCTTGAAGCTTCCCCTCCCCCCAGGATTTAGAAAATTCTCTCTGGAAGTCAACAATATTGATTTCCAATAAAGGACTTCGAGATAGTCACATTCTACAAAGATTATCCTGTGGCCTTCACTTGGGCTGGGTTCATCTGATTTAAACTGAATTTTTTATCCTTAGTTCTAAACTAGGAAAATCTGGTGGGGGGGTGTCATGCTATATTTTGAGGAACCATTTGTCAAATTAGAAAAGTTCTAATCATGTGAGGAAATCACACATAAAGCTGTTATTTCTAGGACTCTATACTTGGTAGTAACATTTCATTGCAAGGTCACCTCTAAGGACAAGGAGGTACAGTCTTTGTCATCTTAATCTACCTCCCATCAGATTATAGCAATCATCATGCATGCCTGTTTAATAACAGCTGGATTTCTGAACTGTATGAATTGTGCCACCCTGTAATGATTTTCTTTTCTGTTTTGCAGGTGTCCTGGGGAAAGGTCGCTATTTTTACTATGGAAAAAACTCAGAGGGTAACAGATTCATCCGAGATGACCAACTCTGAAGCTAAATTCTGCATGCCTTAGCCTTACACATGACAATAAAATGGAAAAGCAAGAAAAACCACAGGCTGCCTTGTGTTTCCCTAAGAAGGCTGTAACTTCTGCTTTGCAGTACCTTGTGCCTACTTTGCCAGGCCTGTCACGATCATCCACCTCCCTTAGACTGAGTGGTCACAGAGAGATTGACATGATTGCCCTTAAGCAGGTCTCATCCACCAGGGTGACAGACAGCAGCAGCGCAGCACCAGGGCTGACAGCCCAAACACCATGACAGATTGCCTGGTCTCTCCATTGCTCACCGGGGAACAGGGGTCACACCTGGGGCCTTCTCAGGCTTGCTCACTGGCTTCGGTATAGTGAGAGAGGCTCTCCTGGGCTTGCCTTCTGAGTCAAGTCCTTTGATATCATGTGCCTTCGGCTTATTCTCAGTGGAGTAGCCACTGGTACAGAGGAAGGGCACATACTCTTTATCCTTTCAGCCTCCATAGTAGGCATTATATTAACTAATTCATAAACACTGTCTTTTATCATTGGCAATGCATTCCCATCCATAGTCCTTCAAAGGACACAACTTCTCAAGCAAGTCATATACAATTCCTGAATTTTCCAAAATCACTGACTACAAAAGTATTTGTTGTTGTTGTTGTTGTTGTTGTTCAAAGTCTACTTCTCCCTAACATGTCCTGGGGTTAGCTGTCTTTCTTGGCACAAGGGTTTGGCAACACCAGAGATTCTCCTTTGGTTTTTACTATATATGTTCATCAATGGCTATGGCCATATTTACCCTAAAAGGACAGGCTTCCATGTCCTTTGGATGCTATTTAAATGTAGTGAGATAAGGAAAGATGGTGTGATAGGCCAGGAGGTTAGAAAACAAATGGGAGATTATAGAAACTACCCAGCAGACCAAACAGGTTTGATAGAACACATACCTTTAAGGTTTCATGTTTCTCTCAGAACCTCTCAGAAGTCAGACCCAGGGCTGATGAGAAACGAAGAGATCTTTCTGTATCTTTGGTCACTTGCTGGCACTGATATCACAGGAAAGCAAGCACAACCATGCTAGCAAGCTACTCTAGAAGGCATCTGAAAGCCTTCTTACCCTTGACACATCTTCTTTTGGTAGTATGCTGTGTGTTCATTTCTCTGGGTCTCCTAGCTAAGAAACAAAATCCTCCAAGAATCCCTCCAAGTTTCAGACAGCAAGAGAGTTGCTAATGGAGAGTCAGTCACTGGATCTCCAGCAGACTCTGAACTGTTGGAGAGGGACTGTCTTTCTCAGATCTTGTCTGTTTACATAGCCTCTGCCATACTGAGTCAATGAGGCCTTGGAGTAACACATATCCTGGCTGAAAGGAGTCCTGCATGGAGATTACACAACCTTCATTCATCAGCTGTTGGGAGCAGCTAATGCTAAAGTCCCCCAGGGCCATTAATAACTAGAGATTATACAACCCACTCATAACCAGGGCTGAGTACCTTCTCTCTGTTTGATCTACACAACAGCACTGAGAGCTAATGGTTTACATTCCCATCATCAGGTTCCACCTTGCCTCTTTGTTTAGAGGCATCAGAACCTTCGGTCCATTGCATATTATGAGAAGCAAGGCTCTGTGCAAGGGCAATGAGACCAGTGTGGTGTCACAGCCAATCTAACAGCACATATATCCCAGTCTTCATAAAAGGCTTTAACCCTGCCTCAAACAATAAAAAAGCACTTGTGAACTGACCACAGAATTTTTCCGTCTTTATTTTTCTTACTTGTTTACTTTTCTTAATGTCAGAACCATTTGTATCATGGGCAGGAATGTCTCCCTCAATGTGAGTTTTGGAGGCAAAAATGAAAAAAAAAATTGGAGTGAGTTATTGACCGCACTGTTTCCTCCTCTTTGGGCTGTTTGTTTTCTTCCAGAATGGTGTAATAACTTCAATTAAGATTAGCTTTAATTATAACTTGCGTAAAGGCCATCCTGGCAGTATATTCATCTTAGTGGTGGAATTAAAGTGAGTTTTGTTTCTTCTAAGTAGGAATGATGATAGTGAATTATTGTTGAGTTGTGTACAATTCTGTTGTCTATTGAGCAAGATCTGCTGTTCTAGAACTGGACTCTGGTCTGAATTGGCAGGGGAGAAAGCCCTGGGCCTTGTTTATCTAAAATCTGTAGGAATTTCCAAAACCATGTTTACAAAGTAGAAAATTACAGGGTAATAAATTCATCTGAAACCCAGACATGTTTCATCCTCCCCTTTGCACCTGTTTGTCTTCCTTCTGCTGGGTTCCACATAGCTTGTTCTTTGGGGAACATTCTCAGACAACTCTATTTCCCCTTCACAGGACACCGGTCTGAGTCCAGAGAACTGGGAGATGCATGGAATTCTGGAGCTCCCTGTTGCCTCGGTAAAGTCAGGGAGATGATCTTTTTCCTAACTAAGATAATTTTCTAGAACAATTTGTTCCTAGGGGAGCACTGTTTTTAGAGTGTGGGAAATCCTATTAAAAGTGCTATAGCAATCATTTGCTCTTACCTTTACCAGCCTTGCTTATAAACCCTCCATCTGTTTGTTGCTTTAAATAGAAGCACATTACGAAAGATTATCACTAGATCAGGCTGCACATCTCCATGTTGTATGTTTTCACATATTCGTGTGTAGTAAAGAATAAAAGAAAACAAACTACAGACTAAATAAAAGTGTGTGTGTGTGTGTGTGTGTTTCTTACAAAGCTATATCTTCACCACTTCAACTTGCTCTTTGTAAAAAATAGCCTTCTTAATTAATATGTAGAATAAAAATAATCTATATGGCTCTTTCTATCATAACCTCAACATGACCCACAATGTGCTACTTGCAAGGGCAACCTATGTCAGATATGTGTCACTGCCTGATGCCCAGGGGAAATGCTACAGGGCTCACTGTGAGTCTTCCTTGTTGCCCATCTGGTGCAGTTCATCCAATGTGACCTTCACTACAAGCTTATTCCAGTTTTTTTTCCAAGAAACCACCTTCACTGAAGAAGGATGCTACTATCGGTTGACTCTGGTGTCTCTAATTTGTGTAGGTACAGTATTATAATCTACCTTGAATAAAAAAGGGGAAAAAAACCACCAGAAAAAGACAAAGCATGCTAGTCACTTGTTTGTATGACAACCAGGTCATTTAATGATAGCATAATACCCTGTGTTACTTCTGTTGCTTCTAACACTGTGTACAGTTTATTTTTATATATTTTAATCATATTTTTATTTAGTGTGTACGTATGTGCACACATGTGGCTGCTTGCCCTGTTGGTAAACAGAAGTCAGAGGATAATTTTCTGGAATCAGTTCTTTCCTCTCACCACATGGGTCCTGAAGATGAACTCAGGTTGTCATGCTTGTGGCAGGTACCTATCTATTCCCACTGAGCCACCTTTCCAAACGCATTGTCTTTCAATATTTGAAGAACATCTCAACAGAGCCACCTCTCCAAAGTCATTGTCTTTCTACAGGATTATCTGAAATTTCCCAGTATTTATGATCCTCCATTAAGTAATAATATCAATGTCTGTTAGTTGCTCTATGGTGGAGTAGTAATCAATTGTGTAAACATTGGTAAACATTAATCTATCACACTGTGTGAATACTCTTCTGAAGGAGAACAGGGTGTGACTCAGAGATAAACCAATGCAAGTAAGAGACTAAACTAGGAAAGAGCGGTGATTTCTAATATGGAGAATGTGTTATAGAAACATACTGGGACATGGTTGGTATGACTGACGATAAATAGAATTATCTGAAGGATAATGGAAGAGCATGGAAATAGTCCAGATGTGGAATCTTAGTGGATAAGGGAGGGTTAGATACTGAGAAGAATGAGAGAAGACAATTTTCCTCTAAGCCAAAGATGGAGGACTATTTCTCTGCAAAATGAAGTCATATTTGATACCATTGGGTGGTGCCACAGGATATACTCAACAAGTTTCCCCACCTGGAACAACAAAGCAGTGTGGAGTAAATGTATTAGAGGTGCCACGGGACAAATGTGCCTATGTATGATGGCACACAGGGCCACCACTGACTGGTTCTAGCTTGTGTCTAACAGCCCACAAAACCTACCATCCTAAGGTACATTTCCCTAGACCAGATAAAAGTTAAAGGAAAGACAAATGTTTGGGCAGGAAGATGAGAGAGAAAGCTTTACAGTCTTGTGAGTTTTCACAAACTCATTAAGTTCAGAGCTAGATGAATATCTGGACAAAAATACCATGAAAATAAAGATAGTTAAGCAAACAGATGAAGAAGACATCTACATAAGGCAAAGATGACAACAACAGCTTTGACTACCTTTTTTTCCTTGGAGGGAAACGTAACATCATGGACAAAACAGACAATATTTAAGTTCATTTTTGGGTAACCAAAATTAATATGCCGAGCACCCTAGGAAATATTTCTTGTCACATCAATTACTAAATGTAGCCAGCAATTTTTGAAGTCTAGGGTCTTACAGTCACTCCATGTTAAATGATCGAGTGTCCTCCTCTTGTCCCCACATGTGATATACATAAAGTCATACAGGCATACACACATACATATAAAGGGAAATATTTTAAAAATTAGGAATGGATTTGGATATTTTTGAGGATAATTTTCTTTAGACACAAATTTTTCAGTTCAAGTGCTTGTTATGAGAAGAGCAACGCCTACTGCTGAGCTGGTCTGCAGCTTGTAGGTTATTCCAGGCATGGAGTATCAAAATGGGGAAGAATGAATATACATTATTCAATACACAAGAATTACATTTATAATGTTATAATGTAAATAAAAATACTACTTAGACTTTTTGTTAAAGCCAGATAAAAATGAGCTTAACATGTCGGTATAGTTTTAATGCTATTATTTAACTTAATGGAATCTTTTCCTTGGGAAAAAAATAGCACTCTGACATTCATTACATAGGAAGATTTGTTTCTTAAGATTATGACAATAATGGAAACAGCTTTTCTCCAATTGTTCTATAATTTAATTAAAAGAAAACAGTGACAACTATGGATTCTCCTAAAATGTTTACCCACTGCCTTGTCAG